TGTGTCAGCATCGCCTTCAAGCTTGTGCTGCATGTTACAGCAGTGTCAGACCTTGGATCTGAACAGCAATAGCCAAGAAAAGGGAGAAAAGAAAGAATCACTTTCAGAAACTCTCTAAGGAAACGAGCAATAACTTTCCTAGAAAGTTCAGAAAACTGCCTCTTGAGTCTAAGTGGCCACCTTGAGTCATATAGCCATTCATGAACAAATTCTTCCCAGAAATGTGAGATAACACTTAGATCATCCCAAGAGCTGGGATGAGGTGGGTAACATAGTTGGGACATTTGTCCCGGCCCAGATCTCATGTTCAATTGTAATCCCCCATGCTAGAGGTGGGGGGCCTGGTGAGAGGTGTTTGCCCCATTGGGGTGGATCCCTCATGGCTTGGTGCTGCCTTCACAATAGTGAGTCTCACAAGATTTGGTCTTTAAAAGTGTGTGGCACCTCCACCCTCACTCTCTCTTGCACCTGCTCTGGCCATGTGCTGTGCCTGTTCCCACTTCACCTTCTGCCATGAGGCCTCCCCAGAAGCAGACGCCAGTGCTATGCTACCTGTACAGCCTCTGCAGGTTAATCTACCTCTTTTCTTGTAAATTATCCAATCTCAGACATTTCTTTATAGCAATGCAAGTACAAACTAACATTGCCACCATGAGCCAATTAAACCTCTTTTTTTTTTCACTGTTTTTTTAAAATTGTATTTCACTTTAAATTCTGGGATACATGCAGGTTTGTTACATAAATATACATGTGCCATGGTGGTTTGCTGCACCTATCAACCTGTCATCTAGATTTTAAGCTCCGCCTGCATCAGGTGTTTGTCCTAATGTTCTCCCTCCCCTTGCTCCCCACCCCCCGACAGGCCCTGGTGTGTGATGTTCCCCTCAGTGTGTCCACATGTTTTCATTGTTCAGCTCCCACTTATGAGTGAGAACATGCAATGTTTGGTTTTCTGTTCCTGTCTTAGTTTACTGAGAATGATGGTTTCCAGCTTCATCCATGTCCCTGCAAAGGACATAAACTCATTCTTTTTTATGGCTGCGTAGTATTCCATGGTGTATAGCTGCCACATTTTCTTTATCCAGCCTATCATTGATGGGCATTTGGGTTGGTTCCAACTCTTTGCTATTGTGAACAGTGCTGCGATAAACATACATGTGCATGTGTCTTTATAGTAGAATGATTTACATCCTTTGGGCAATGAGATTGCTGGGTCAAATGATATTTCTGGTTCTAGATCCTGAAAACCTCTTTTCTTATAAATTACCCAGTCTCACATATTTCTTTATAGCAATGCAAATACCGACTAACACAGTCAGCGTCCCCTGCACTGTGTTGACATGGGTGGGTAAATATCTGAAAACTATCAAGTTTCTATTAGAAGAATGGACCCTCCTGCTGCTGGTTAGGCCCCCATCAGTGTTAACAATAATCATCTTGCCACTTATACTCTTAAACAGTTCTCCAGTTATTCAATCTGCAACTATGATGCCAAATTATTTGGGGTTTCCAAGGACTAGACAATATGCATAACAAACAAACAGAAATGAAGTGTGTTTTTACATCATATCAAACAATATATGGTTGCATACCTGGCATATTTATAATTTAGAGCTAGATTTGGCTGCATATAACAGAGGACCCAAGAAAAGACAAACATTTTTTTTCTTGCATATGTAACAAGGCCATAGGAAAACAGACCCAGCTGATAGGGTGACGCCACCATGATTAAGGATTCAGATTTCTTCTGTTTTGTTCTTCCACCATCCTCAAAATTAGGGTCCTTACTCTGTGGTCCAAGTTGGCTGCTCAGCTCCAACCATCATGCCTACATTTCAACCAACGGAAAGATGAGAAGATTTAAAGAAGGGTGGATACTCCTTTTAAAGACAAATCCTGGAAGGACAGCATACAACTTCCACATAGATCCCATTGCTGAAACTTACTCACATGGCTACACCTAGCTGTAAGGGAAGTTAGAAAATGTAATCCTTGTTCTGCACCACTGATACAACCTAAACGTCAGGAATTTTATTAGAAAGGAAGAAAGTGGAAAAGGATATTGGGGGTAGTTAGGAAACAATGCCACATATAAATCAATAAAGAAACAATGAAATACAAGTTCTGAAAATCCCCATTACCACTGATAAAATATATTTCAAGAATTACTCAACAGCCAGGCATGGTGGCTCATGCCTGTAATCCTAGCACTTTGGGAAGGCAAGGTGGGAGGATTGCTTGAGTGCAGGAGGTTGAGGGTACACTGACCTGTGATCTTACCATGGCACTCCAGCCTGGGGAACAAAGGAAGACCTTGTTTCAACAACAACAAAAAGAATGTTTCAATAATACTCAATGCATAGTATTTGGAATTCTTGAGCCTCACTCTAAAGTCCAGCATAAGTAAAAGATGAAAAGTGCCAACCAAGGAGAGGCCAATCTATGCTTAGCTCCTTAAAAGTGTTTCCCTCCTCCCCAAAAAGTACTGGGCAGTTCACCTGTGTGGAAAGGCGAATAACCCAACTAGTCATACATAAGAGTTAATGACCCAAGTGAATAAAGAAGGTGGTTATCCAAGTGTAATCTAAATGAACCTGGGGCTCATGTTGCTGAATTAAATATTAAGCACATTTAAAGAAAAAAGTCAAGAAATCAGGTCATTAAAAGGTACTTATAGTCATTAATTGTATTTTGGAAGAACAATAAAGGAATCCAATTCATATCCCACAGGAATACTTCCCCATCAACTCAGGGCTCCTATTGCTTACATTCTAACACTGCCTTAGAACCTGGTGGTTCTATTCTAAATCTTGATGCTCCTCTTTCTCAGAAGCCTTATTTTTCTCTTTCCTACCTTCTTTTCTGCTCTGTCACTCATAACCATTCTCTCTCTATTTCTTCTCTCTCTCTCTCTCCCCACCCACCCCCATCTCTCTCCCTGTTTCTCTCTCTCTTTCTCTGTTTCTGAGATGGATCCTACCATGTTGCCCAGGCTAGACTTGAACTCCTGGGCTCAAGGGATCCTCCTGCTTCAGTCTCCTGAGTAGCTAGGTCTGCACCTGACATCATTCTCTCTATGTTGCTTCCCAAATTCCCAGAAATCAGCAAGCCAAGACAGCACTTGGAGGTGGGGAAGGGGAGAAGTTGAACAGACAAAGGCAAGACAAGGACAGAAGAAGGGAACAGGGAAAGGCTGGGAACAGTCCCACTTTGGTAAATCCTGTCTGTGACAATCTCTCAAGTCATATGGTCATTAGGGACATTTGTCCACACACAAACCCCCCATCTCCTCCCAGGGGAGATCTCCACAGTCCTCTCTGAATTAATGGAGATGCTGAACAGAGTCACTTTCCGAAGGCATGGATACTTTCTCTGCACTGAGATGAGGATTTCTGCCCGGAGGGTAGTTGTGGGACAGCTGGAGGTCACTAGAGATTATGCTAACCACCTATGAATATCTATCTGCTTTCAGGACTCAGTCAAGAATAAGTTTTTATAACAAATTAATCTGAAAAATGAAAACGAAGGTAGGAACTTGGTGCACTAGCAACATGCAAACACACACACACACACACACACACACACACACACACACACACAAACAGGTGACCTCTAGTCAAGGTGACAGATTAAAAAAAAAAAAAAAAAACCAGAATCCTGCTCCTATTTGAAACAAATAGAAAATTATGAATTACCAAAATTACATGAAAAACAAGATCTGAAGAGAACACTTTGTCAGCCAGGATTCCTTTGCTCAAGCAGCAGAAAATGATTTTGGCTTACAAAATCAGTTACAACAACTGAAAAAAAACCACAGGGAAAGAAAAGAGTTACTGGCCAACCTCACTTATGCATATATATGCAAATAGCCAAAATACAGTTACCCTCGGTATACATGGGGATTGGTTCCAGGACATTCTCCATGTACCCAAATTCTTGCACACTCAGGTCCAATATTGGGCTCTGCTGAACTCACAAATAAGAAAAGTTTCTCCATATACACAGGTTACACATCCCACAAATAATGTATTTTCTTTTTTGTTTGTTTGGTTTTGTTTTTGAGACAGAGTCTCACTCTGTTGCCCAGGATGGAGTGCAGTGGCACAATCTCAGCTCACTGCAACCTCCATCTCTTGGGTTCAAGCAGTTCTCCTACCTAAGCCTCCCAAGTAGCTGCGATTACAGGCACCCACTACCACACCTGGCTAATTTTTGCATTTTCAGTAGAGACAAGATTTCACCACATTGGCCAGGCTGGTCTCAAACTCCTGACCTGAAGTGATCCGCCCACCTCGGCCTCCCAAAGTGCTGCGATTACAGGCATGAGCCCCTGTGCCTGGCCACATAATGTATTTTCAATCCAGGTTTGGTTGGACCTAGGTAGTTCAAGCTCATGTTATTCAAGGGCCAACTATAAAAGATTAGCTCATTTAATGCAGCAATGAATGTTTTTACACTCCAAAGACAAAATGATGCTATAACTGGAGAAGAAACCATGATTTCACTAGACATTGCTGTCCCTGGACACTTGATGCTCTTTCTTGTAGCATTGCCACATGAAACTCCATATACCCCAAAGAAAGGAAATCAGGATATCAAAGGCATATCTACACTCCCATGCTTGTTGAAGCATTTTTATAATAGCCAAGATTTGGAACTAATGCAGGTGTCTGCCAACAAATTAGTGGATAAAGAAATTATGGTACATATACATAGTGGAGTACTATTCAGCCATAAAAAATGAATGAGGTTCTATCATTTGCAATAACATGGATGAAACTGGAGGTCATCATGTTTAAGTGAAATAAATCAGGCACAGAAAACTTGGCCAGGTGCGGTGGCTCACACCTGCAATCCCAGTACTTTGGGAAGCCAAGGCAAGTGAATCACTAGGTCAGGAGTTCAAGAGCACCCTGGACAACATGGTGAAGCCACATCTCTACTAAAAATACAAAAAATTAGCTGGGCATGTTGGCAGGTGTCTGTAGTCCCAGCTACTCAGGAGGCTGAGGCAGAAGAATCGCTTGAACCTGGGAGGTGGAGGTTGAACGACTCCGTCTCTAAAAAAAAAAAAATAGCAAGACAAACTTCACATGTTCTTACTTATTTGTGGGAGCTAAAAATTAAAACAAACTCATGGAGACAGAGAGTAGAAAGATGGTTTCCACAGTCTGGGAAGAGTAGTGAGCAGGATGGGGCGGGTAGCTGAGGGAGAAATAGTGATGGTTAATGAGCACCAAAAGTAGTTAGAAAGAATGAGTAAGGCCAGAAGCGAAACCAAAGCCTGGCTCCGAGCAGCAGCCGCTGAGGTGTCCCTGGCCAGTGTCCTTCCACCTGTCCACAAGCATGGGGAACATCTTCGCCAACCTCTTCAAGGGCCTTTTTGAGAAAAAAGAAATGTGCATCCTCATGATGGGACTGGATGCTGCGTGAAAGACCACGATCCTGTACAAGCTTAAACTGCGCGAGATCGTGACCACCATTCCCACCGTAGGCTTAAACGTGGAAACCGTGGAGTACAAGAAAGAATATCAGCTTCACTGCGTGGGACGTGGGTGGCCAGGACCAGGTCCCGCCTCTGTGGCGCCACTACTTCCAAAACACACAAGGCCTGATCTTCGTGGTGGACGGCAATGAAAGAGAGCGCGTGAAGGAGGCCAGTGAGGAGCTCATGAGGATGCTGTCCCCCTGGTGTTCGCCAACAAGCAGGACGTCCCCAATGCCATGAATGCGGCCGAGATCACAGACAAGCTGAGGCTGCATTCCCTAAGCCACAGGAACTGGTATATTCAGACTACCCGCGCCACCAGCGGTGACGGGCTCTATGGAGGACTGGACTCGCTGTCAATCAGCTCCGGAACCAGAAGTGAACGCGACCCCACTCCCTCTCACTCCTCTCGCCCTCTGCTTTACTCTCACGTGGCAAGCCTGCATCTCGTGGCGTGAGCACCAGAAGCTGCCTGCATGGTTTGGTCACCGTGTGCATTGCACCATGCTGTAAATGTGGCAGAGGCAGCCTGCGGCCAGGCTTTTTATTTAATGTAAATAGTTTTTGTTTCCAATGAGGCAGTTTCTGGTACTCCTATGCAATATAACTCAGCTTTTTTTATTGTAAAAAGAAAAATCCGCCGGGCGCGGTGGCTCAAGCCTGTAATCCCAGCACTTTGGGAGGCCGAGGCGGGTGGATCACGAGGTCGAGAGATTGAGACCATCCTGGTCAACATGGTGAAACCCCGTCCCTACTAAAAATACAAAAAATTAGCTGGGCATGGTGGTGCGTGCCTGTAATCCCAGCTACTCAGGAGGCTGAGGCAGGAGAATTGCCTGAACCCAGGAGGCGGAGGTTGCGGTGAGCCGAGATCGCGCCATTGCACTCCAGCCTGGGTAACATGAGTGAAACCCCGTCTCAAAAAAAAAAAAAAAAAAAAAAAAATCAACTCACTGTTGAGTGCTGAGAGGGGACGTAAGCCTGTGGGCACCTGGTCTCCAGGAGTCATTGTGTTGGGAGAGCCAGGCACGCTCTTGGCTTTAGAGCTGTGTTGAAATCCATTTTGGTGGTTGGTTTTTAACCCAAACTTAGTGCATTTTAAAAATAGTTAAAAATCCAACGGCTGGGCGCAGTGGCTCACGCCTGTAATCCTAGCACTTTGGGAGGCTGAGGCGGATGGATCATGAGGTCAGTAGCTCAGGACCAGACTGGCCAACATGGTGAAACCCTTATCTCTACTAAAAATACAAAAATTAGCTGGGCGTGGTGGTGGGCACCTGTAGTCCCAGCTACTCAGGAGCCTGAGGCAGGAGACTTGCTTAAACCCAGGAGGTCAAGGTTGCAGTGAGTGAAGATTGTGTAACTTCACTCCAGCCTGGGTGACAGAGCAAGACTCCACCTCAAAAAAAAGAAAAAAAAAAAATTACAGGTAGGAGAGGGAAATTATGGAAGGAGACATTCCAGACTGTGAACATGGGTTACCAGTGTAAGTGGAAGAGCGTGAGTAGAGATGGGGAAGTTTGAATTGCTATGAATAAAAGTGGAAGAGGGAATGAGAAAGATGAGTAGAAAGAAAGGGAAAAAACAAAAAAGAAAAACACTAAAAAGGGACCATTGTTTTCAGCATAAGTCTTCAAAACCACCCTCTGTAACCTGTAATTTAAAAAGCTTCTGTCCAAATACTGACTTGTAAAAAAAGAAAAACACCAACATTCAGCTAAGTATGTCACTGTGATTGATTTACATGACAGCAAACACTAAACCAAAGCACTGCTTAAATTATCCAGATGTTCTAGAATGAAATATTTCCCATTCTGGAAAGTAATTTGGCAAAAACAGCAAAACTTTCATATCCAGTGATCCAAAAACGTACACCTCTAGAAATCTACCCTAAAGAAAAACTGGAGATTTGGGCATAATTTTTGGTGTAAAGATGTTATTTTAATATTAACTACAATAGCAAACAATAAGGAGAAAAACAGTCTAAATGGCAAAAATTAATTTTGTAGATCCATGAAATGGAACATCAAGCAACCACTAAAAATCATTTTAGTTTACCAGCATAGGAAACTGCCCGTGATATAATATTAAGTGAACAATAAAACAAGATAGAAAATGTGGATTGCATGTTGCACACACATACACAAACACAAGGACTTTAAGGAAGAACTACACCAAAATGCTAATGATGATTAGCTTTAGGAAGTAAGTTAAAGGTGATTATCGTTGTCTTCGTATTTGTGTGGGTTTTTTTTTTTTTCAAGTTTTCTATACTGGGTGCATATTTGGGATGGAATGCTCTTTTACTCACCTGATACAAAGGCATCCTGTCTAACAAATCAGTCGGCCCCGTGATCCACTGCTTGTCAGCTCTGTGAGGGCTGGTGTCTGCTTCACATTGTGTCCCCCATTGCTGAGCACATGGTAATGGATGAATGGTTGGGTGGATGGATTTGGTTGTGCCGGTGGGCCAGAAAGGGGTTTCTCTCCTTCATCAATTTCCTATTATTTTGGCACAGTAGGACTTCCTCATAGATTGGAGGACCATTCAGTTGTTTAATGTATAGGCACTACCTTCACCTCTTTCTGTATCTATTAGGTTATAAATTAAGGAGAGGTTAGCATGTGTGAGAAAGAACCAGCAATAACCAGAAATCATCTGTGCATCTGTTAATATAGCATATGGAAAACCACAGGTATCAACACGTGGGACTGGACCAAAGGGTCTCTACCAGGTCTCACCCACATCACTCAGTGAGTCACATTCCACAACCTTCAGCCTTCTATGTCAATCAGGAAAAACAGAAGCCAATATCATACCAGGAAGAGCTGGGCAAAGTAAGACATTTGGGGTATTTAGTACATTTAAAACTCATGCCATATCATTTGACACTTCAGAGTAAAAATTTTGTGAAATGACTATTTTGTTCAAGATCAACATAGCTACCATTTTGAGCATCTACTCATATTAGGTACCTTAAATATGTAAAGGTACTGAATTCTAACAGTATTATTATGCTCATTTTCTTTATGAAGGACCCAAGAGGATGTAAGTTGCTTTATGACAAATAGCTAATAAATGTCAGAGCTAGAATTCAAAGCTGAGCCTGTCCAGCTCCAAAACTTCAGGCTCCATCCCACACGCTCAGCAGTCTGACGGATTCTGACTCCCTCCCACTCCAACTGTACTAAAGCAAGTTCTTCCATTGCCACTTTGATGCATTCACTGTCAGCTAAACACATTTTTAAATAGACTTCATTAATGGATGTTAATTCTTCTGTTCTAGAGCTAGCTTTCCCTTCAAGACACGCAGGGACATTTTAAAGTCACAGCTGAGCAATAACAAATTACATTTTCCTGAACAAATTTCTCACCTAATCATAAAATGATTGTGGATGTTAGTGTTTACATCCTGGCTCCGAGCAGTAATGCAGGAAAACATCAAAGTTTTTTGGGTGACAAAGAATCACCTCTGATCTTCACTTCAAAGACAACCAGGAAAAAAAAATTCTTCCCAGCAGCATGTTTGAAGTTAATGTCAGTCAGGCTTTCCCTCAACTTGTCTATACAAGTATGTGCTTTATAATAATCAGAGCTTGTTAGGAAACCATAAAGCACCCCTAAAATGGCAGTAAAAATATCTACCGCACACACACAATTTTTTCCTATGTGTTACAAACAAATTTTAGTTAATATATTTTTTTCCACTTAATCCAGTTCCCCAAGTCTAATTTTAAAAGAGTGCCCCATCACAAAGATGTACAAATGTTGTTTCTAAGCCCAGGAATCTAAATACTTAATATTTTCCCGGATGTCCGTAGAATTTTCTCCTCTTCAGAACTTTCCTTCCTCTACCTATCCATTTTCTCCCAGGAACACAAAGCCTTCCTTCCAGTCTGGTTCTAGGACCTGATCAGGAGTCTCAATTTTACCTTCATAAATAGATGCTCTTCTGGAACATGGCAACTGAGGGAAGGCAGCCTTGCTCCTGGAACCCTTCTCAGCCTGGTTTGATGTGTCATCTCTGTCCCCCACAGTGCCCGGTGCTGCTTTGACCTCATCACTTATTGTACAATCATCACCACCTGTAAGCTTTCTGAGAGTTAGGACCATGTTTTAATCATCTTTGCATCCCCGGCACGTAGCCCACTGCCCAGCACACAGTTGGTGCTCGCAAGTTCCTGTTGTTGATTAAGAGCATGAATAAATGTGCAGATAACCCTTCACCCATGTGGCTAAAAGCAAGAGTTCTCAGGAGTCTGGGAAGAAAGAGGGAGAACAATTGGGAAGCAGGTCAACTAGAGCAAGGATGGGCAGTTGGAACATGTGATGTAAGAAGGTCCAAGAAGACAGGAAGCACATTTAATAGAAAGGGGCTCATTAAACACAGGCTAAAGGTGAAGTGACTGACAAGGTGACAGCCATTATAGGACATAGGCTAGAGCTTTGGACCCCGGAAAACAGAAAGCTGATATCATTTTGTTTGCAATCAGTGTCCAGGATGAACGCTAACTTTTTAACTGTTTGCACCTGGAAACATGAGATCCAGGCTAACGTGGTAGTGCCCTCTTTCTTGTGATAAATGCTTAAAAGCTTTCTCAGTACTCCACACCCATGACTTCCATGATGGGTCTGTTTCAAAATGAGCTTGGTAAGACTCCCGGGCTGGGTCAGTAAGTAACCCACCATGCTACTAGACTCTGATTAAAGGCATCATAAAATACTTTACAATGATTTTAAACATTTTTGGCCAGGTGCAGTGGCACACTGTGATTACAGTGCCTGTAATCACAGTACTTTGGGAGTCCAAGGAGGGTGGATCAGATCACCTGAGGTCAGGAGTTCGAGATCAACCTGGCCAACGTGGTGAAATCCCGTCTCGACTAAAAATACAAAAAATTAGCCAGGCATGGTGGCACACACCTGAAGTCCCAGCTACTTGGGAGGCTGAGGCAGGAGAATCACTTAAATCGGGGAGGCAAAAGTTGCAGTGAGCCAAGATATCACCATGGCACTCCAGCCTGGGCAGCAAGAGCAAAACTGTGTCTCAAAATAAATAAATAAATAAAAATTAAACATTTTCAGTTTAAGTCTGAATGTAATAAGTCATTCATTCAACAAATATTTGTTGAGTTTCAAACATGTGTTAGCTACTGTGCTGTAACAGTAGGAAAGTTCCAATGTAAAAACACTACACTTTCTCCATTCACTCTGCGTGTCCACAGACACTGCCATCAAGAGTATAGAAGAATGTGAGCAAGAGCAAAAAACAGAGTATTTAGCAAGTCCAACTTCATCTCAGTATCAGTTTATATGAAGAAGGCAATTTCTTCTCTAAGTTACTGAAATGAGGTGATAGTTTATTTGGGGGAATTTTATGAATAGATGTTGTCTTCATTCTTTATGCAAAATCCATCCTGGAGTCCACATAATGAACATTAACAACAGCTTGGCCAGAAGCACCAAGTAAGTATGTCGAATGGGTTCAGCTGCAGAAAATAGAATTCACACTACCCAGGTGCAGTGTCTCACACCTGTAATCCCAGCACTTTGGGAGGTACAGGTGGGAGGCTTGAGGCCAGGAGTTCGACACCTGGGGAATATAGTGAGACTCCCCCCATCTCTACAAAAAAATTTTAAAAATACCCACGCATGGTGGTGCATACCTGCAGTCTCTGCTACTTGGGAAGCTAAGTCAGAAGGATCACCTGAGCTCAGAAGGTTGAGGATGCAATGAGTCACGATTGTGCCACTACACTCTATCCTGGGTGACAGAGCAAGACTCCATCTCAAGGAAAAAAAAAAGATTTTTATAGATATACATAAAAATGTACAAAATTTTTTTTTAAATTTACACTACCTCTTGCAGGTCAGCAATCTCAGAGGCCTGGAGGCAGGAAGAGGCTGCCATTCCCTGGGCAATCCCTTCTTGAAACACACCAATCAGAAAATAATGCTCCTTCTTCCCAGGGGAAAAGTGAGGGAGGAAGCTGAGGCAAGCCAGGCACTTTATTCTACTGCCAATTCCTCCACGTGGAATCTATGAGTGAGAAGTTAAGCACTCTCACTAAGCAGTTCAATATTTTGAAGTAGCTGATTTCCTTCCCTGTGATTCTGACCTGGACTCTTTCAAAAACAAGCCCAATCACAACGTGTGTCTCACCCAATTGCTGAAATAAGGACTGAGCTCTCCCACTGTGGTACAGGCCAGTCACAGTCACCTAGGATGGATAAAAGTATCTTTGACTAGCTGTAAATCTGTGTAATCACAAAGTTTAAGAATGTTTCTCATTTCATGTACATCAATCCCAGACCCTCAGACCCTCAGCATCAGTACTGGGATTTTTTTTATTTTTCATTTTTTGAGACAGAGTCTCATTCAGCTGCCCAGGCTGGAGTGCAGTGGCATGATTTCAGTTCACTGCAACTTCTGCCTTCCACCTCAGCCTCCTGAGTAGCTGGGACCCCGGGCATGGACCACCACACCCAGATAACTTTTTGCATTTTTTGTAGAGATAGGGTTTCTCCATGTTGCCCTCACTTCCCTGTACAACTTGCACTCCAAGGAACAAGCTAGGGTCCAGGTGCTCTTAGAGGTATGGCGTAAACATCTGATTTTGCCATTCCTGGGGTTAATAGCTCAGAACACTAAACAAACATTCACCTAGGAACATAGGGTAATTCTCAGGGTCTGCTTGAGTTACTGCTATCTGATCTCAAACTCCTGAGTTCAAGAGATCTACCCACCTCGGCTTCCCAAAGTGCTGGGATTACAGGCCTGAGCCACTACGCCCAGCCCAGTACTGGGATTGATTCAAAGATCTCAGAGTTATCAAGAGTCATTCTAAAGTGTATTACCCTCTATAGTGGCATATGATTATAGTCCCAGCTAGGCCAAAGCAGAAGGATTGCTTGAGCCCCGTCATTTTGGACCCCCAAGCTGGGAAGCTGGGAGGGTACAGTCACCAAGAGGCCTATAAAAAAAAACCTGGAGACAGCAGGTGAGACATGCAGTTTTATTCTGGGGACTTATATACCACGCATCCAGGAGTAGCATGCTGGACAGGAAAACCACTGCCATTTGCGAACAACACATAGGTTATAAAGGAACTTTTGCTTGGCAACCTCTACTTAGCAGCCCCCACTCAGCTCAAAATGAAGGCCTTCAATTTCTTGTTTGACTTGTGTTCCAAGGAACCAGTCAGGGAAACACATGGTAATTCTCAGGGTCTGCTTGAGTTACTGCTCTCTAGCAAGACATGCCCACCATCCACGCCCAGGAGTTCAAGGTTGTAGTGTGCTATGATCATGCCTGTGAATGGCCACTGCATTCCAGCCTGGGAGACATAGCAAGGCTCTGTCTCTAAATAAAATAAAATACAAACTACAAACTTCTCGACAGGCTTGCCATATTAACTCTCAAGGACATACCAGTTTACCTTGAAATTATCTTTTCCAGCAAACCAGCCTCGTTTGACATTAGCTTTAATAACGTTTTTCAGATACTCTTACTAATCTTACAGAATAGAAATAGTATGTTTCTAAAAAAAAAATAGATCTCAATTTATAAGGCAACGCTTTCACTTCCTTCTTACTGTTTTGATTGGTACTTGAACTATTTATCGTATTCTCCTTTTGTTTAAACTTGGAACTGGAATTTTAAAGTGGAGCTGATAACCTACGTATTCCAGATTTGAAAGTTTTAGCCTCATCAGAAAAAACCAGCAGATGTTCGTTTCTCATGAAAATATGGCAATAAGAATGCATTCGCAGTTACAAAATAGGTAAAGTCATTTGTGGGTGCTCATCAATCCTGCTACTCCTGTGAAAAAGGCTAAAAATGTTGCCTGCGTTTTGCAGATGGAAAAAAAATAACAGGTTTCATTGTGCTCTGGGCATAACAGCAAAGCCTTTGGTAGAGCCAGAAATAGAACCTCAAGAGATTTGTGTTCCCTTTTTGATGTAGAACAGAACTCAACTCAGCAGTCTCATTAAAATCATGCTACAGAAGAAGCTGGTCTGTCTCTTCACTCAATTTTCTTTAATATAATTCAATCATTTATTTCAGCTCTACTCTAATTTAGACTAATTAGCATTTCTTATGCTAATTAGTCTGATTGACCATACTGTATAAATTATTATTTTAATTTGTATAGTGATTTCATAGAATACATTGGATGCCAAGCATAGTGGATAGTATGTAATCATTTTAATAAATTTTTTTTTTAAAAAGCAATATTCAATATCATCAAATTCTACAAGAGAGGAAGCTGTATTATTTAGGTTGAGCAGGTCAACATGCAACTTCCCATATGACCACCTTAATATAGTTCTGGATTTTAGAGCATTACAAATTAAGCCCTACACGCTTTTAAAGAAAAGCACCTTCAATGTTACAGAACTTCAGGATTCCATGCTGCCATCCTGTGTCTACCATCTTGCCATTGCAGCTATAATTTCGATTTTCTAAATTTGTGTTTGTGCACACAAGTGTTCAGCTGTTAGAGTGGCATTTGAGTCATGAGCTGCTACACCGATTAGATGTGCTCAGATTTCCGAATACGTTCACTAACCATCTACACTATTGGACTGGGAATAGACTAGCTCTCAAAACAACAACAACAACAACAACAAAACAAACAAACACATACAAAAAAATCACACACACAATATTAGCGATATCTGGATCCTCAAGGGCAAAATGAAGATTTTTAACAAAAATTTTAGAGGCTGGGTGTGGTGACTCATGCCTGTAATCTCAGCATTTTGGGAGGCCCAGGCGGGCAGATCATGAGGTCAGCAGATCTAGACCATTCTGGCCAACAGGGTGAAACCCCATCCCTACTAAAAATACAAAAATTAGACAGGCGTGGTGGCACGAGCCTGTAATCCCAGCTACGCGTGAGGCCGAGGCAGGAGAATTGCTTGAATCCGGGAGGTGGAGATTGCAGTGAGCCAACATCGTGCCACTGCACTTTAGCCTGGCAACAGAGTGAGACTTTGTCTCAAAAAAAAAAAAGAAAAAAAAATTAGTGATGGGGTCTTGCTTTGTCACCTAGGCATGCAGTGGCCCTATCATAGCTCACTGCCTCTCACCTCAGCCTCCCAAGTAGCTGAGACTACAGGCACACGCCACCACAACAGGCTAATTTTTCTTTCTTCTTTCCTTTCCTTTTTTTTTGAGACAGAGTTTCACTCTGTCACCAGGCTGGAGTAGAGCGGCACGATCTCAGCTCTCTGCAACCCTCTGCCTCCCGGGTTCAAGCGATTCTCCTGCCTCAGCCTCCCAAGTAGCTGGGGCTACAGGCACATGCCACCATGCCCAGCTAATTTTTATATTTTTAGTAGAAATGGGGTTTCACCATGTTGGCCAGGATGGTCTTGATCTCTTGACCTTATGATTCACCTGCCTCAGCCTCCCAACACACTGTGATTACAGGTGTGAGCCACTTCACCCATGTAATTTTTTTTTAAGAGGAGAAGTCTTGCTATGTTGCTCAGGTTGGTCTTAAACTCCTGCCCTCAAGTGATCCTCCTACATCAGTCTCCCAGACACAGAGATTACAGGTGTAAACCACCACGTCCTGTCCCAAATGAGAAATGTAATCATGCCTACTGTGTAGAGTAGCTGGAAAAATTCAAGGAGATAATCTATATAAAGCAGTTAAAAGAGTGCAGAGAATGGCCAGGTACAGTGGCTCACGTCTGTAATCCCACTACTTTGAGAGGCCAAGGCAGGTGGATCACCTGAGGTCAGGGGCTTGAGACCAGCCTGGCCTACATGGTGAAACCCTGTCTCTACTAAATAAACACAAAAATTAGCCGGGCATGGTGTATACACCTGTAATCCCAGCTACTCCGGAGGCTGAGGCAGGAGAATCGCTTGAACCCGGGAGGCGGAGGTTGCAGTGAGCCAAGATCGTGCCACTACACGCCAGCCTGCAGCCTGAGTGACAAAGTAAGAGTCTGTCTCAAAAAAACAAAAAGAAAAAAGAAAAAAGAAAAAGCACATTTAAGAGTGCAGAGAATGAAATAAGTGTGCAATAATGGTTAGCAATTATTAGCTGTTAACATGCTGGCCTGAACACATGCCAGTCTTGCAAATATCAACTTTTATTGACATGCATTTATACAGCACATTATTACTGAGCATCATTTGTGGGCATTTTAAACGTGGTCTACAAGGTCCACATTGGTCTGGCAGTCACCAGCATCTCCAGCCACATCCTCTCTGTAGCCCAGATTATATCGTGCCTCATCCTGCATCTCTCTGCACCCCACCTTACCCCTTGGCTTTTTGTGTAGAAGTCACAGCAGCCTTTCTACATGTCCATGGATGCACTGAGCTCCTTCCTAGAGCACACACACTATACATCCTCTTTCTTCTACCTCTACCCCAAGCTCCACTCCTTTGCTTTATAAATGGATCTTCAATTTTCTGCTTAATTATCCCTCCCTCAAACTCACAGCTAGGTCCCTGACACCACCACTCCAGCTCTTATGAAGTGGTAATTTTACATTTTTACATGATTGGTGTGTCAATGTCTGTTGTATCTACTGTAGCAGGAGTGGCCTCGAGAAACAGACCTCTCCAACACCGAACACCAAACTGGGAAGGGAGGGGTGATTTATTCCACCGAGAGCAAGGTGGCATCGTTACTAACAGCCAAGCTCGTCCAACAAAGAAAACCTCTGCCTTTATATAGCCTTACAACTCTAGCTATTACATGTGAAAGGGAATTGGGTTTACAGTTTTAGAAATTACATGTGAAAGGGTCTTGGTCTTACAGTTTCAGAAATTACATATGAAACAGTCTTGGTTTTACAACTCTAGAATTTACATGTGAAAGGGTCTTGGTCAAGGAGTAAGTGTGGGGTATAGTGACTTAGGTGGGTGTTTGAGCGTGTTTAAGTAAAAACAATGTCTTCTGGAGAGATTCCTCCACTCCATGCCTGCAATCTACAGGAGGGCGGTAAGTTGCCAGGTCTGCCAGCCTTTACTTCTCCTATAGAAATGCAGTGTGAAAGTCAAGGTGGGGATAGTCTTAGATGTTTAACGGTGATTAAAGCTCTCATCCCTCACTACTACACTAAAAGGGCAAGGTCTTTGTTTTGGGTTTTTGTTTTTTGTTTTTTTCACTATTTGCTCTCAGGTCTATCACAGTGCTTGCCATATGGTAGGTTCTCAGTAATTCTGTAAATGAATAAACATATCCCAACAACAAGGCTATTGCTCCCAAGAATTGAGTATTTACCTCTCACTTTATTTCACAATCACTGTTCTCCTCATCTCTGGCCTTATTCAATCATACAGTGAAAAACAGAACCAGAACCACAAGGGCCAAGGCCCAGCAGGGCGCCTGAAGAAGTCGGTTCTACTGCCCAGGGTCACCGCGGTTCGAAGGATGCCTCGTGGAAGGTCGCCAAGTCTCTCACCCACCCCGCGGGAGCCAGACCCGGCTGACAGAGGACACCCGGGGCCTAGGGCCGGGCCTGTCCCGCCGGGATCCCGCCCTCGTCCCGAAGTTTCCTGGGATTGGCTGCCCGCCCCGCGGCCCACCTCCCAGCCCCGCCCCGCCCAGAGTCTTCCCGGGGATTGGCTACCCGTCCCGCGGCCCACCTCCCAGCCACGCCCCTCCCAGAGTCTTCCCGGGGATTGGCTGTCCGCCCTGCCGTGCCGTGCCCCGCCCCGCCCGCGCCCCGGACTTTCCCGGGATTTGAAGTGCGCTCCTCAGCCCTAAAGCGTTCCTCCGCCTATCAGTTTCCGCTGTGCGCCTTCTTGCTGGTCTGCTGGCTTGGCGGGGGTCGGCCACTTTGTCCCGCGGAGCTATTGCGCTGTGAGTGCGTCTCTGGCCTTGGGTCTCCGGCGGGGAGGACTCCCGGGCAAGGCCTCGGCTCACGCCGCGTCTCCTCGAGCTTTGCCCGCCCGGAGCGCCTCTGCTCCCGGGGGCCGAGCCGAGGGATAGAGCAGCCCTCGGCGGCCCGGGGGGCGGACGGCCGTGCCTGTCCGGGAGCCGCGCGCGGCACAGGCGCTGCGTCCTGCGGAGCCGCTGGGAGGATCCGGGTCCAGGTCCCGGCGCGGTAACAAGTTTGCACTTTGCCTCCCCACTGCAGACGCGCCGCTACTCTGTGTAGCGGGTTTCGGGCGGCCACGCGTGCGGCGACAGGAACCCCACCCCGGCCGACCTTGGGCTCCAGGAATTCGTCTCCTACGTCTGCGGAGGTGCGGCGGCCTCACTTCTAAGTGCAGGTGTGTTCCTAGCCTTGAGCAGGATGAAATGACCCAGTCCCGAGCACGTGGCCAGTGGGACTCAAGGGTTTCCGGTGCCTGAATCCGGCTCTTTTAACAGGAAGGCAGTTGCTGTGTTCTAAACCTTTACCTCACGACGGTCTTCTGCCCACTGACCATCGTGGTGTCTTTCCCATGTGGCCCTGTATGGCTGGTATGGTTCCTGTCTTTAGAACTTGTGCATATAATACTTTATTTTCTTGACTGGCCAAAGGAGTCCATTTGGTCCCATGTCTAATCCATCTTATAATTGCTTGGCCCCTCTTGGTAGCCATGTCTTTTTTAGGTTGCGGGGCATTTGCCCGACATTGAACAGGAGTCAGAGATAAGGGTAGGGTCGCAAGCTGGGTGGAGTAGAGAGAGGGAGTCTGTTTTTGTCTGCCCATGTAGCAGCTTTCTCAGCCTTAAAATTTCATAAAGATGTTCTATCAGTTTTCCTAAGTGCTGAGCAGTGACATGAAAAGCATGCTATGAGGCCAGACATGTTGGCTCATGCCTGTAATGCTAGCACTTTGGGATGCCAAGGTGAGAGGATCACTTGAGCTTAGGAGTTAGAGACCACCTTGGGCAACATGGCCAGACCTTATCTCTACTAAAAGTAATTAAAAAAAAAAAAGCCAGATATGGTGGTGCATGCCTGTAGTCCCAGCTACAGGGAAGGCAGAGGTAGATCTATTGAGCCCAGAAGTTCGAGACTGCTGGGAGCCATGCTTGCACCACTGCATTCTAGGTTAGGCAAAAAATTGAGACCCGTTTCAAAGAGAAAAAAAAAAAAAAAAATGCTATGGAATTTACCTGACAGGAAGAAAGTTGTCCTAAAATAGCCACAGCTATCTCATTGTTTTCACAGCAATGTACATGGAAAGGCTTGTCAAAACTGAGTAAGTAAAAACAGGTGTGTGGGGTGGCTAATGCTAATTTCAGCGTCTCAGTAAAGGTTTCTGTGGTTGTGCCTGGGAGAGCATGTAGAGGTTAGGCAAAGGCAGCAAAATTGGGAATGCATTGGTAGCAACAACCAGCAGCTGCTAAGTGTGCACACCTGTCTTTGAGATCAGGACGAAGGCAAGTGACGAAAGGTATTTGCAGGTAAATTTGAGTAACCTGAGACATTCCATGGTCTAATTAGGTAACAGTTCAAATGTCCGTACCCACTGAAATCTGGTTCTGGGCGGTATTATGACTGGAGTCAGCCAGACTTCAGATGTTCTCAGGTGAAAGCAGTCTTTATGCTATTCTGGTGGCCTGTTACTGCCTAGGAAATACCAACACTTGGTTTTAATGCACTGTCGAAGCTAAGGTTAAGTTTGAATGCATCATATGTGATATGTAAAAATATCACAAAGGTGCTTAAATTGTAAGCGAACTCTTCAGCTGTAACTCCAGACAGGAGTCCAGCTCCTCCAAAGAGGAGCTTTACAGTCTCATCTATGGGTTTTATGGAGACTTACTTTACCCTTCTGTGTTAGCCTCTTAAAGCACTGTGTCAGCCTTAAAAGGGGCATAAGAAAGGGTGATTTAGGATTTTTTTAAGGGTTTGCTACTACTTCCTGCAGTGCTCCCTGATCCACAGCTCATCGTGTGTCTCAGTTTCTTTAAGTCTGCAATCCCAATTAGAAGCAGCTGTTTTGCTAAGGGAGCCCATGAGTGTCGATTGCCTTTCTGTTAAGAGACCCAGATTTGGGGCTTGGTGAAAAACAGGCACCAAGGAACACTTCAGACCCACTGGTCATGTGCTTGGGGCCTGGGTCATTTCATTCCACTCAAGGCCATGGACGTACCTGCTAACCTCCATGGGAAAGAAGAGGAAGGGCAGGGTGAACAGCTTAGGATTGGCTAGTTTGAATGATTTCATTGGATTTCAAACTGTAGAGGCGTGTCCCCTAGTTGCATAGCACCTGGCCCTGGGATGATTAAGGCAGACAAATAATTTCTTTTGTTTGTAACGGCCAGATAGAGGACATATGGCTCTGGATTGGTTAGTTTGTATATCAAAGACATGCTCCTGGTTGGCCCCTTGTTATCTCTGAGAATTGGCTAGCCCCCATGAAACGTAGTCTCTCCCCAGCTAGAAAGGTTTTGTTTGTTTGAGATGGGGTCTCACTCTGTCACCACACTGGAGTGCAATGGTGCGACCTCGGCTCACTGCAACCTTCACCTCCCGGGTTCAAGTGATTCCCCAGCCTCAGCCTCCCAAGTAACTGGGATCACAGGTGTGCACCAGCTAATTTTTTATATTTTAGTAGAGACCGATTTCACCATGTTGGCCAGGATGGTTTTGATCTCCTGACCTCATGATCTGCCCACCTCTGCCTCCCTAAGTGTTGGGATTACAGGCATGAGCCACTGCACCCGGCCTGTTTTTGTATTTTAGACAGAGTCTCTCTCTGTTGTCCAGGCTGGAGTGCAGTGGCCTAATCTTGGGTCACTGCAACCTCTGCCTCCGGGGTTTAAGCAGTTTTTCCTCCCTCAGTCTCCCGAGTAGCTGGGACCACAGGCACACACCACCATGCCTGGCTAATTTTTGTATTTTTAGTAGAGGCAGGGTTTCGCCATGTTGGCCAGGCTAGTCTTGATCTCCTGGCCTCAAGTGATCCATCTGCCTCAGCTTCCCAAATTGCTGAGATTACAGGCATGACCCACCATGCCCAGCCCTCAGCTGGAAAGGTTTTTTAAAACATCAGAATAGGACGGGCATGGTGGCTTACATCTGTAATCCCAGCACTTTGGGAGGCTGAGGAAGGCGGATCACCTGAGGTTGGGAGTTTGAGACCAGCCTGACCAACATGGAGAAACCCTGTCTCTACTAAAAATACAAAATTAGCTGGGCATGTGGCACATGCCTGTAATCCCAGCTACTCGGGAGACTGAGGCAGGAGAATCACTTGAACCTGGGAGACGGAGGTTGTGGTGAGCTGACATTGCACCATTGCACTCCAGCATGGGCAACAAGAGCAAAACTCTGTCTCAAAAAAAGTCAGAACATAATTAATATACAGAAAATTTTAAGATATTTACATATGTGCATATGATGATCAAACTGCCAAAAGACATTTAGCTCTTGGTATCCATAGCATTTCTGAGCAAATTATTTCCCAGTGCATTACTTGTAAATCTCACCAAGATTCTGGAGGTGGTAGGTATACTGCAAAGAGTCCTCCAAGACCCACACTGCCTTTTATGGTACTCTAAATGGACTTTATAGATTTATCTCCAGCCTTAGACTATTCTTACTGCATGTTTAATGGTTGGACTGTGATATCCGACTAGATGTGCTAAGGCCATAACAGTGGAAAAGAAACTAACAACTGAGATTATTTCTTGTTTTGGCATTCCTTTATGAATTTAATGAGATCAAGGAACTCACTTGACAGCAGAATTAAATCACTTGCTTGCAAAACTCTGGGATATTCATTAAAATTTTATACCTCCTACTATCCTCAATCCTCAAGGCAAGTAAAGTATAAAAATCTAAACATAAAATGAACTCTAGGAAAAATCTGTCAATAAACTGGACTCAGACAGCCAGAAGCATTACCCTGGCCCTTATAAAGATCTGGAATACTGGCCAGGTGCAGTGGCTCATGGTTGTAATCCCAACACTTTGGGAGGCTGAGATGGGATGATCAGCTGAGGCCAGGGGTTCAAGACCAGCCTGGGCAACAAAGTGAGACCCCACCTGGCCGAGTACAGTGGCTCACGTCTGTAATCCCAGCACTTTGGGAGACTGAGGTGGGTGGATCATGAGGTCAAGAGTTCAAGACCAGCCTGGCCAAGATGGTAAAACCCCATCTCTACTAAAATACAAAAAATGAGCCGGATGTGGTGGGGGGAACCTGTAATTCCAACTACTCAGGAGGCTGAGGCAGAGAATTGCTTGAACCTGGGAGATGGAGGTTGCAGTGAGCCAAGATCGTGCCATTGCACTCCAGCCTGGCAACAGAGCTAGACCCCATAAAAAAAAAAAAAAAAAAGTGAGGTCCCATCTCTACAAAAGTAAGACAAAAAAAAACTTCTGGAATACTCCAAATAGGAGGATTGACTGCTTTTGAAATAGTCTTAGCTACTCTGTGCCTACTGGGATCTCTAAAACTTTCCTTCTAGCATAGAATGAGCATTATGGGGACTTCAGTGAACAATTCAATATTAGTTATATATAATGACTAGTTATATACAATTCACTAACTAGTTATATACAGTAATTAGTATACTTGCAGCATATTTACAACAGATAAAAAAAAATGTGTGGCTTTCACTAACAGACCCTACCATCTTTTCTACCAGGTGACCAAATATATCTCAAAGTTTTTAGAAGAAGCCACCTATACAGCCATCAAAATAAAATTCCTGAATTCATACAAGCTACAACAAGCTAGATCAGGATCATCATATGACAACTGGAAGGTCATGCCTATGGGTTACCTCAAGTTGAGGAATTTCAGCACCTACTCACAGGCTCCATGAGCAGATGAAGTAGTCGGCTTTACACAGTATCTCAGACCAAGAACTTCATCGCCATCTCCAACTAGCGGAAACGTCTCCCCTCCTCGACCTGGAAAATTCTCTGACTTCGAAATTTAAACAAAACTCTCCCCTTTCATTTAATCTCCAACGTCTGGAGTTTGTTTGTCTTGACCTAACCGCTTCTCTCTTTTCCTCCACTATGGGTTCCCTGTCGAACTATGGTCTGCTTCAGCTAACGCTTGCTTCTCTTTTGATAATTCGAGTGCAACCTCAACACCTGCTTGCACCAGTTTTCCGAACACTGTCTATCTTGACTAATCAGTCTAATTGCTGGTTATGTGAACATCTAGATAATGCAGAAGAACCCGAACTAGTTTTTGTTCCTGCCAGTGCAAGCACCTGGTGGACCTATTCTGGACAATGGATGTACGAAAGGGTATGTCATCTACAAGCAGAAATGCAGAATCACTCCACTTCCTCCTGTGATAAAGTGACTCCGCACTGGGAAGCCTTCATGGAAGCTCAAGGTCTATCCTTTGCTCAAGTAAGGTTATTGGAGGGAAATTTTTCTCTTTGTGTAGAAAATAAAAATGGCACTGGACCCTTCCTAGGTAACATACCTAAACAATATTGTATTCAAACACTGTGGTTTGATTCTACAGATGGCACCTTCACACCCTCTATAGATACTACAAAGGAATCCAGGAAAGATTATGATGATACAAGTGTTTACCTACGCACTAGACAACGTCCCTGGTTTGCAGATTGCACAAACTGGACCTGGAACAGCTCAATGGTTCCCTTGATTGGTCTGCCCAGTACCCAAGACTACCAATGGGTAGATCGAAATTCTGGATTGACCTGGTCAGGTAATGACACCTGCCTATATAGCTGCCAAAACCAAACCAAAGGCCTTCTGTACCAGCTGTTTCGCAACATATTTTGCTCTTATGGGCTGACAGAGGCTCATGGGAAATGGAGATGTGCAGATGCCAGCATAACTAATGACAAAGGTCATGATGGACACCAGACCCCCACCTGGTGGCTCACAGGTGCCAATCTGACCTTGTCTGTGAATAACTCTGGTCTCTTTATTTTATGTGGCAATGGGGTATACAAAGGGTTTCCACCGAAATGGTCAGGGCGATGTGGACTTGGGTATCTGGTACCTTCTCTCACCAGATACCTTACCTTAAATGCTAGCCAAATTACAAACCTGAGATCCTTCATTCATAAAGTAACACCACATAGACGCACCAAACGAGACACAAACAATCCACCTCTATATTACAACCCCAAGGACAATTCAACAATAAGGGCCCTTTTTCCAAGTTTGGGAACTTCCGATTTAGAAAAGGCAATTTTAAACCTTTCCAAAGCAATAGAACAGGAATTCAGTGCCACTCAGCAGACCTTGGAAGCACACCAATCAAAAGTTAGCAGTTTAGCCTCTGCATCCCCAAATGATCGTGTCTTGGATATACCGACCACCCAACGGCAAACAGCCTGTGGAACTGTTGGCAAACAGTGTTGCCTCTATATAAATAAATCGGAAGATATAATGTCTGATATACAGCGTATCAAAGACATAGCCAAGAACATGAAGAATATACCATTATTTGATTGGGGAGTCTGGTTCAGATCATGGGGCTATGTGTTTTTAATTGTTTTTCTCTGCTTAATCATCTTTGTTCTAATCTATGTTCGGTTCTTTCACAAATCTCGCAGATCCCTTAACTCCCAACCTCTGTACCCAGTCTTATCTCCACAGCAATCAGCATAGCTTCTTGTCAATGAAACTTCATGTCAAGTTTAAAATGGGGCAATGAAGGGACTAACAACCCATCAGTATGACACAAGTCTACTTTAATCTGAGAACGTCTGAACAAACAGCAGCTGCAGACAAAAAGCCTTAGCTAAGGCCAGGTGCGGTGGCTTCACACCTGTAATCCCACCACTTTGGGAGGCCAAGGAGGGCGGACACAAGGTCAAGAGATCGAGACCACCCTGGCCAACATGGTGAAACCCTGTCTCTAGTGAAAATACAAAAATTAGCTGGGCGTGGTAGCATGTGCCTGCAGTCCCAGCTGCTTGGGAGGCTGAGGCAGGAGAATTGCATGAACCTGGGAGGCAGAGGTTGCAGTGAGCCGAGATCATGCCACTGCACTCCAGCCTGACAACATAGTGAAACTCCATCTCAAAAACAAAAACGGCCTGAGCTAAACTTTGATGAGTAAAGAAGACTTTACTGAGAATTCAGCTGCCATAAACCCTCTTCTGAGGGTTCCTCATGTAAGGGTACTTGGCACTAGGACCTCCCAAGATGTTGTAAATAAACCTTATCAGAACTTTTCATAGTTTGACTCTGACGCCTTAAGACATACCATTGGCTGGGCGTGGTGGCTCACACCTGTAATCCTAGAACTTTGGGAGGCAGAGGTGGGCGGATCACCTGACGTCAGGAGTTTAACACTAGCCTGGCCAACATGGTGAAACCCTGTCTATTAAAATACAAAAATTTGCCAGGCCTGATGGTGGGTGCCTGTAACCCTAACTGAGGCTGAGACGGGAGAATCACCTGAGCCCAGGAGACAGTGGTTGCAGTGAGCCAAGATCGCCCCATTGTACTCCAGCCTGGGCAGTGGGCGAAACTCTCAAAAAAAAAGACCATTAATCTGATCTATAAACCCTTACCCCTTGCTGTTCAGAGAGTCACTCTTTATAGTGTTCTTGCATGCACGTATAATGTTCTTTTTTTTCTATTAATCTGTTAATTTGCAAGCCCCCAAGCAACGGAACTAGTTGGGAGCAGAAAAGTTTCTCCCAACAGCACCTTGTAGACTTCTGGATAGACCAAAGAGTGTTTGAATAGATAAAGGAATTTTGTTCCCTTGATTTTGGTTGAAGGTAGAAGAATCCAATGTACACATACAGAAGACTGTCCTTAAATTTGTCTCAAAGAATAAATGTTGGGTAGTCATCAGAACCGACTGAAAACTTACTTTAGGGAGAAATCCACAAATCATTTAGGCTGGGACAATCTGAGCTTTCCTGATTTCTCATGGGCATTTTAGTGGTCTAATGGAATGTTAGTGTGGTGGGCGTTTTAACCATCTTACAACCCGGGCTGCAGGTGGAAGTAGGTTGTAGAGAGTGTTGAGGTGGCATCTGTTATATCAAACACTTCTCTCTGCCCAGTCCTGTGGTGAGTTCCTCACATGTAGCTTTCTAGGTAATCTTCACAGTGTTGACAGTTTACAGATGAATAATCTCAAAGGGTAGATAGCTTGCTCAAGATTATACCACTACTGAAAAAGAGCAAGATGTGGAACAGAATACCTAGTATGTTACTTTTTCTTTTAAAAGGGTTGAGATAATATTTATGTATATGTTTATGTATTTGCAAATAAAACAGGAAGGAAAAGCCATTAGCAAATGAAAGTGATTCCATGTAAGAGGAATAGGCAGTGAGAGTCTCACCTTTTTAAGGTTGCATATAACAAATCTATGAACATAGCAGATTGATCATTTATTAATAGAATAATCATTTCAAGTTACATTAAGAAAACAGATGGCTTGGTGTAGTGGCTCATGCCTGTAATTACAGCACTTTGGGAGGCCAAGGTGGGTGGATCACAAGGTCAAGAGATTGAGACCATCCTGGCCCACATGGTAAAACCCCATCTCTACTAAAAATACAAAAATTAGCTGGGCGTGGTCGTGTGCCTGTAGTCCCAGCTACTTGGAAGGCTGAAACAGGAGAATCGCTTGAACCCTGGAGGCAGAGGTTGCAGTGAGCTGAGATTGTGCCACTGTGCTCCAGCCTGGGCAACAGAGCGAGACTCCATCTCAAAAAAAAAAAACAAAACACAGACTGCGTGTGGTGGCTCATACCTGTAATTCAGCACTTTGGGAGGCTAAGGCAGGTGGATCTCTTGAGCCCAGGAATAAGACCAGCCTGGGCAACATGGCAAAACCCTGTCTCTACAAAAAATACAAAAATTAGCCAGGTGTGGTGGCACATGCCTACTGTCCTAGCTACCCAGGAGGCTGAGGTGGGAAGATCACATGAGGCTGGGAGGTTGAGGCTGCTGTGAGCCAGGATTGTGCCACTGCACTCCAGCCTGGGTGACAGTGAGCTCCAGTCTCAAAAAGAAAAAGAAAAGGAAACTCATACTCTGGAACAATAGAACCCTTGGAGATAGGTTTATCGTTCATAGTAATGTTGATATCAAAAGAAGGTAAGAAAAACTTTCAGCAATACAAAGCAGAAGAGAAAGTTACTTGAGCTAACAGATACAGGACTTCTTGTGTTTGTTATGCAATATGCATTGAAACTAGAGAAGCCATTAAAAGATAACAACTTTCAGTATTGGGTATTTGTGCTACTTGGTCCTCATTTCACCATGTCAAGTAGGAATACAAAGTTAAGAGGAACTATGAAATAAAGAGGCAGTCATTGGAATGTTAGAAAATGTCTTCTTGGAAGGATAAAGTCTCATTTATCAAATAGCATGAGCGATTTCGAGGTGTGTTAAGCTGCACAATACTGGCTTAGAGTAAGGTTTGTAGGGCATGAAAAGTTATAGAAAATAGTTTCAACATTACTGATGATGGACACAAAGGTATTTTTGATATGCAAAACTCAGGGGAAAAGTCCTCTTTCCATTGTTATGCAACAGGAGGAACACAAAATAGGTTGATTGGCAAAAATGTTTATTAACCAGCTCAAAGGCTCACCAGATGTTTTACTTTTGTATTTCCTTATACATTTATTAATTAGAAGCCTACTTAAGGAAAATTGTTATCCAATATTTTTTATCAGTGTGGACTCATGTATATATACATTGTTCTTTGAGTTGTAATCCAATACTATTGTACTGTTTCTCAAAGTGTTGCACCCTGGCCTTTGAGAGCTCTTGGAAAATTTGTTCCTGTTTCCTTTTGGCATGCCTCTCCCTATGTGTTTTTTGTTTGTTTGGGCTTACAGGTATTGATCGACTTAACGACCTATGCAACTTACGACCATTCGACTTTACGACCACAATCGTTAGCCACGACTGCTCTGCGTCTGGCAGCACAAACGTTGCCCAGCTGGGCGTACGACAGTGCGGACCAGCTTCCGGCAGCACTGCCTTCTCCGCTTGCACCATTTCAACTGTACATATAGCCTACTCAACTTACGACCAAATCGTGTTAACGACCGGTCTGCCAGTCCCAATCGTGGTCGTAAGTCAAGCACTAGCTGTATTTTATATTTTTTAGCACTTCTTTCTTTCTGGTGCTTCAATATGCTGCAAGCTCATCTTTTATTTTTCCTGACCAGCCCTAGAATCAGTCATTTTTTCCAAAAAGCCATTGCTCCCTGTACTGAAAAATGTTTTTAGAAACCAAGATCTGGGCACAAGCTGTTCTCACTGCTACTCCACTAGGTTATCACTGTGCAGACCCCTAAGTGGACACAGCCAGACAATGTTCGTATGTATACACAGATACCTGTACACCTTTACCTAGACTTTATTGAAATAAATGAGTTTATACTTATATCTCCAACTTGCATTCAGCGCCACAGGATTCATTCTAGCCTCACTTTACCCCTTGCTTATCTGTGACTTTTCTGTTGCTGAGAAACATGTCTCCTACTGTCTAAGATTTATTTACTTTGTTAAACTCTACTATATGTGTAAACTAGTTACATAAAGTAGTTACCTAATTGCTAACCTGTACCCCTATGAGAAACAAAGTAACCAATTAGAATACAGCAGTTTTTTTTTTTTTGTCTTTAGCTTTGCAGTATCCAGTCAAGACACTGTTTTCAAAAGTTAAATCATTTTAACTCCTCTCTCTCTCTCTATATATATATATATACTTCTCTCTCTATATATATATATGTGTGTATATATATATATATATACACTTCTTTAAAAGTTGATCCATCATTACTGGCATCTAGAGAATCTAGGTACAAAGTACAAACAAACAAGAAAACACTGAATTCACTTAAATCATGAAAAGGAATTGGGTGGGCTAGGCTCCTCATATAATTCTAGTGATAGTTACACAGATGGACTACTGAAGAACAAATATTTTTTACTCCTCTGATTGTTATCTGTAACTTTATACAAGATATTTATTTTGTAATATATATTCTCCACAGAAAGCTTCAGAAGATTGAGTATTGAAATGTGGCAACCTTAACCAGCAGTTGGCACTACCAAAATGAAATATTTCAGGGGTAGCAACAAGCCTGCAGCACAGGATGACTTGCTTTCAAAACCTAGAGGTGTGCTAAATCAAAGGCGAAGAAAGTGTGTGTTCAACATTAAGAAAATACCCTGGTATACAGTAATTACAACTGTGAGGGAGTAGGTACAATAAAAGGAATTGTTTGGGGGAAATGTGGATGATTTTCTTTTTTCTGTTTTCCAAACTGAATGCCTTAGGACATAGACTCTCTGAGGGAGATCTTTGTGGTGACACAATAATTCTGTATCTGGATTGTGATGGTTCCATGAATTTACTCACAAGAAAGTGGCATAGAATGATGTAATATTGGAATACACAGCTCAATGTCAATTTTCTAGTTTTGTTTTTGTGCTATAGTGACTTCCGCTGGGGGAATTTGGGTGAAGGCTACATGGAATCTCTGCACTATTATTGTAACTTTCTGTGAACATGTAATTCAGAGTAAAAAGCTTTAAAAAGTAATAGTGTTTTATATCCTCAAACAGATATATAAATATATATATATATAGTTTATGTATGTTAAACTTAGTTGTCTTTTTTAGCATTTTTTTTCTGTATTGTTATGTTAAACTATCCTTCAGAAAGGTTGAAGCAATTGGACCATGTATAATAGTATATTTAAAATTT